TACCAAATGCCACGAAGCGTCCCAAGCAAGACTTCTTTTATCATCTGGTGCCCCAGACACCACCCCGCTTCGAAAAGATTGTGAAAAGGCGAAGACCCCCTAGCCTCACTTCCTACCTGACAGAAATCTAATGTGTTACAGTACTCCCGGGAGGACCCCTCAATTTGCCCCTGTGCTGCAGCCGCCCCTTTGCGGGGTCGGCGGCAGCGGCGGCAGCCCTTAAATAATAGACATGACAGATTTGAAGCATATTGTTTGGGAAGTATTTGAAAGAGTCAAACCAATAATACTTTGTGGCAACCCGCGACTCGGTAGCAAATACTGGAGAAATCACCTTATACCATCCCTGGATCCCTCAACCCTAAACTCCAAGAACCGCCTCGGGACAAGTTCAGGCAGTTGCACCTGTTGCCTGTGGTTTGTCGAGGAGTGAAGTTACCTGAGAAATTCTGAAAGATCATCTCAGCCAAACCACATCCGGATAGGCCCGATGCAAGACTGCACTGCAAGGGATGTAGGTTCTGGCTTGGTCAAAATTTTCATGCGAGCTACTTGGCAACCACAATGGGCGCTACTGCGTAGTAGCAAAAACAATGATCCTGCTTGCTGCTCCCGATTACGCATCTCAGTACCGCAATCCAGCTCCAGATGTCAGAACCTTCCAGCTTCCTGCGAATATCGTCCACTTTTGAAACTGATTGGGCTCAATTGTTGAATCCCATGACACCTTGTCCAACTCGATCTAAACACCATGAACATCCCTTCTCTCGACGCCTGCTTAGATTTGTTGGGACTTTACGCTCCCAAACCCTTTCTTTGCTCCCACACAAGCAAAAGCTGAAGCCCGGGCAGGGCAAATGTCCAAAGTCTCAGGTACTTCCTGGCTGTGGCAATAATCCTCGACTTTGTGGAAGGGGGCCCTGCCCTGAAACCATACATCTTATTTATGTTTATTTCAAGGCCCCCAACCAAGGAATCCCCAACGAATAGGCTTGGGGATTCCAAATTCACATGGTCAGTAATTTGGTAAATTGGTGGGTGGGGTCATTGAGGGGTTGGGGTCTACGAAAGGTTGCGATAGGGTTGCCCTTAGGTTGCTAAGGAGACTTTACACACTAGCCAACTATTACAAACAGGGCCCTTCAGACTGCAATGCCTGTGATCGTTTTTGTGTACTGCAGCTAGCCGCTGGCAGATGATGTTGCTGTTGTTGCAGCTGCCCATGGTCGTGTGCGCTCCACCGCGCGCGATCGATTATGGAATTTCTGCATTGGTCCACCCAGCCGGGAAATGAAGTACCAATTACTGACAAAGCTCAGGCTGCAAGCGGGCAACACTTGCTCTGTTGAAAACGAAAACCCAGTAAACATCATTAATTTGACGAACCTTGTGGACCATCATGGATGACCCTTCCATTGAATACAACACGTTGTGACATGCTGACCACCCCAGTCCCGACAGACCTCGCAGCAGCTTGTCCCCTCGCTTGCCTTGGCACGCTCCGTTTGCTACAAATCAGGGAGTTTCCCTTTGTACCCTGAGGGGTTTGTGCCCTTGGGTTTGGGTCCCCAAACCATGGAATATTGCCCTGACTAGGGGTGTTTGGGACCCAAAGCCTAGGGCTACAAACACCAAAGGGTACAAACTTACAAACTTAAAGTCTTTGAGCAAACCACTGAGCACACTGGCTGCACATGTCTACCCCAGCACCCCACGTCACACGTTTTTTCGTGCCAACGGCGATCCTGCCAGTTGCCAACTACAAGCTCTGGAGACTACGGTGAATGCAAGACAATTTGTGCATGACAAGTGTCACATGGACCGCAACCTTCAAGTTGACGTGGCCTATCCTAAGGCCTGAGCTGTTTCCCACGCGAGGGAGGAAGCTGCATCCTGACACGGGGAGGGTTTCTACATGGCGAGTGTTGGGCTATTCTAATTAGCTTCACGTCAAACACCTAGGAAATCCCCATCGTCGATTTGGGCGAGTTCACTACGTGGTGGGCAATCAGAGGCGACAGCACGGGCTACTCAGGCGCAGCATGAGGCAGCCGCGCATTGAGATTTCCACGGACGATCAATGAAGCGATGAGTGAAATTCTGCTGGCCAACGTGGTACGGGCACAGCCAAACCTAGAAAAACATCAGCCGCAGCGCCTTTCACCACACACCTGTTAGCATTGCGACACGCAACGACAACACTCTTTGCGCTTCTCAAAGACAGGCGCTGAAACACTGAGCAACATGCTCTTTCAAACACAAGCATGTGGCGTTAACCTGCTAGGTTCGAGTCGCAGGCTGGGCCAGCTGTCGCATTACTGTCACATTGCAGAAAAGCTACTGTAACAAAGATGCTTACGTAAATCACGCAACTTAGCCTGCTTGACAACCTGACTGATCCATCGCAGGAAACTGTAAGAAAATGCCTATATTACCAGCACTCAATCTTCGTAACAGTCGATTGCGTCAGCAGCCTCCATCAGAATCTTGGCCACTGCCGCTGGGCTTTTCCCCTGGATTTGCGGTATCTTCATGATGACCTGCTGCGCGATGAAAGGGTGCGTGCAAGTCGTTATGGTAGGCGAGGATGTTGGCAATGGAGGCGTCCATGGCTCATTGGCCAGAATCGGCGTATCCTGCTGATAAGAATGGGTGGCATTGCCTTGGGCATGCTTTGGCCACATCGTCCAGTCTTGCCAGCCGTAGTAGTTGTTGTACCACTGCCACTGCCAGTTTCCATTGCCACAGTTGGAGCCAAAGTTGTAGCCGTGTTGGGGCCAGCGGTTCCAAACACTTTGATGGCATTGACGGCGAGGCATGGCTCCCGCGCTGTTCTGCAGAATTATCCGAAACTTGTGCCGGGCCAGGGGGAAGCAATCTTTGAGCAAAGTTCAGCCCTCCAAGAAGCAAAGCTTGCACGTGAGGCCCTGTGGTGACAAGGGTTTGCAGCCCCTGCATGTCAACCTCAGCAGACATCCCTGCCTCGGAGAGGGCATCCGAGTCACAGGCACCTGCGCCAAAACGAAGATGGAAGGTATCGCATACATTTTCGTGGCGAGATGGCAGTCTGGAAGGACAGAGGGAGTGGCTAGGAAGAATTGAACTGTCCTTCTGACAAATTATCTTGGGTATGGTCCACCACTCCTTGCGTGACCTTCTATGCAAGCATCTTTGCATGCCCAATATTCCAGCTTGCATCACTTGACTGCAGAGGGGCACTTTTCGGAATTAAGGCCCATGTCTTGACTATGTCACTAGGTGCAACTTTGGGGCCGATGATTCTGATGAACGTGCACATGGCCCATAAAACTTGAGGGGGACATTTCTAAAATGAGGACAAGAATGATGACTTGGGGATGCATTACAATGGAGTAGGTTAGGGGGACCCTAATTCCGAGAAATACCCACGTGAGCTCCGGGCCATCGTCTGTCGAGGGGCAGTGACGCTTCTCATCGTCACTCTCAAACTGGTGCGTGGCTTAGAGGCTGCACAGTTTACTGCACATGTGCTCTTTGTTAATAAAAGCTCACCTCCACATGATGACTATAGCCAGTATACTACCGTTGTGTGCATAGGTATATAGGTGTATGCGTGTATATGATACCGGCATATTCACTTGTAGGGTCATCATTCGTAGGGTATCATTCCGTTCTGCCTGCTAATTCACATATGATTTCTATCTGCTTTGCGACCGGGCATCTAGAGAGCAAACTGGGTACAAAGAAATGTCCACATGTTTCCTTCAGGGTCATGGGAAGTGTCCCCCTGAAAAGTTTGCGAGGCCTTCAAATGCGCGTTACTTCAGAAAGCGGAGCAACAGTTCGCGAGACCTTTACGTCGGGCACGATATGTCATGCTTCAAACTGCAGCCTCCAAAGCAGGTAAAGGTCTTGTGCTCGTGCACACGTAGGAACGGTACCTGCTCGCATCCTATGTAGAGGTTTTCCTCTGGCTGACCAAGAAGGATCCATTTCATGTTTGTTTGGCAGGCTAAGACCTGCATTTCCTACAAACCTCCTGATCGAAGGATCTGGAGCTTGGGAAGCTCAACCACGAGCGCCATCGTCCCGGAAATGACAGCCACTAATAGGCGACGCAGCACCAGCAACGCCTTGTTGAGATCGTCGCTGCTGCTGTTGCTGCGCGTAGACACCTTGCCGATAATGTCAGATTTTGCACAGGTCATCCTGCGAACTCAGACTACAGAAGCCAGCAATAATATCCCAGCATGCACAGTCAGGGTGCTCAGGGCAGCTAGTTCGCAGGCTACATGCCTGCAATGCACAGTTGGTGAGAACTGAATGCAACATGCAGCAAGCCTCTAACAATGCGAGGGTGCATCCTGGGGGAGCCTGGGAGGATAGGGAAGCTCTCCTCCGACCAAGGGCCTGGACAAAGATCGGCAACCCGATCTCACCTAGAATCCGTTTCACAAGGTGAAGATCTCCACCTGGTCTAGCTCTTGGTTGTAACATGCGGGAGTCTCTCCAAGATTCTCCAAGTAATCCCCATGACATGCTGAAAAAGGACTCCCAGAATCCCTTCCTAAGCCACATACATCCCCCAAGTCTGCAAGGCCACCTTTTTTGAGAAATCCTCATGTCTTGCCAGGCCCCGGGCACTCCAGTTGGAGACATAACGCAGAAGATGCTCCTCACGGAGGCCCTGCGCATTGAGGGTAAGTGGGTCAGCTCGGAAGGGGCGGGGATGAAGGCTAGTGAAACCCTGCGTAGTGCAACCCAGCTTCACATGATATGTACTTCTATAGGCCGCTTGTCCCGGGACCCCTTGCCCACCTTGTCGCATGACCGGTCTTTCTTTAACAAGCCCAATGTTTTTGGGCCCTACAATGATTTTGGGGCGGTTGGTGGCTTGATCAGCCAGAGGATGAAATCGCAGGAACTTCAAGGAACAGATGGGCGCAGGAAGAGCATGGGAAAGCCAGGTAACCAATCTTCATGTGAGCTGAAGCTGTTCATGCTGGAAACCCCCTCTACTGTTCTGGGGCTAGAGAGCGCAACGTGCGTGGCCAGCTCACACGCTCTGTAGAGCAGGCGTAACCCCGGAAACAAAAGCACCTGGAGCTCAGCATGGTATGTGCAGGAACCATCTGAAATGCAAGAAGCGCATAAGATTCAAGTAGATGTCATTTGATTTGCCTTCGGTCTTGCTGTCCGTTGCTTGAAGTCCATGTTGCACTGCCATGAGGTTTGCCCTGCGACAGAGAATTTCATCCAAAGGTTCAGGGCCGCCCCGATGCCCTTGTCTCTGAAGAGCATTCACATATAACATCTTCGCCACTTCGCGCCAATATACTATAGCAGTTTCCATTTTCTTTTCCACTATCCCTATATGACCCGTATATACCCAATATATCCCCAATATATCAAGCGGCACATCCTCCCAGCCTTGCCTTGTTCAGGGGTGTTGCGTCCAATGGACCATCGTCATGCAGTTTGCCTCAGGGGCGCTAGCGTAAGCAGGCATGGAGGTTGTCAAGCACAAGCTGCCAAGAAAACAATATACTACATAGTAGTTTCCATCTTCTTTTCCATTATCCCTATGTAACCCCAATACATTCCCTTGTCACCCTGTTTTCGTATGGTAGTTTCCATGTCCTTTCCATTTTCTCTTCCATTATCCCTCTCTTAATGCTATGATGTGTTAACATTATAGTTTCCGTTTTCTTTTCCATCATCCCCAGATAAACCTGTTCTCCAAATGCCAAAGACTCATTGGACCAGAGGTTGCAAGATCCATGCACTGGCTGTTTAGGATTCTATTTAGGGGGATATAGGGGGCGATATAGGGGATATATTCGGATAATGGAAAAGAAAATGGAAACTACAACAGTATCTAGACTGGGGACGCAGCCAGAACAGCCATGAACCGACCTGCAGTTTGGGGAAAGGTCTGGACAAAGAAGTAAGGTTGCCAATGTAGCTATGCAAACTCATAGGCTGAATAACTTATCGATGGGATGTTCAAGCCGTTTTGCTATCTGATCTGCTGCTGTACCTCAAGACTCAGGCAAGACAGGCCGTGTGCAGCTTTCGATAAAAGTCAACAAACTACACCGCAACTGCCAACGCGCTTTTGGGCTCTGTGTGGAGACTTAAATGAATGGCAGCATTAGATATTTGGCCTCTGGACACGTCAGCTGCGATCAGCTACAGACTCAGCCAAGTTGATCAATACATACAGCCCATCAGCATAAGAAGTCTTGGTTCAATGCTGTTTCTTTTCTGGCTCGCTCAGCAGCTGCACCCAGCCCCGAGGCCTCTCGGTAGCTGGGTAGTTCAGCATAGTTGCCATCTCCTTAACAGAACGTGGCCAATTTGCGACATCAAGGAGGGATCACTTGCACTTTCCGCCCTGCAGCCCTGTTTTAGGAACCAACGTATCAGCAGCGCTCAGTTCCTTAATGTGGCTGGCGCTGGCGGTGAGCGTGGGGAAGTGTAGGACCTGGTGTGGTAGGGAAGGCCCATTACTCTTCTAATCACTGGATGCTGCCCATGATAAGTGTCATAGACAGCACCCTTCTTGAAGGGAAAAGTGAACAATCACCACAATGGCGACATTTGGGCTTTGCTATTGGGATCCAATCTGGACTCATCCGGCATCTGCATGCAAGAGCCGCTGCGTGCCAGGCAGGCCTTATAAGGCCTGCAATACGAATAATTACATTCTCTTGTGGCAAACCCCCCTGCACTACCAATATAGTACCGCCATCCTCACAAGTCTCACTGCTCACACTTTGTAGCTTGAGGCTGGCAATGGGATTTCTATGGAAGTTCCTGCAGCAACAACTAGTTCGCAGCTCAGGGTCCCGCGGGGATAGCCGTCTGTAAGTCGTTTGTGTTTCGCAAAGTGATGTCGCTTGCTGTTTACCTGCAGGCTCTGTGAGCGTCAAACTCTCAATTTACGAAGAAACAAACAATGCTGAGGGCAATGCACACATATCGTAAACTGAGCTTCATAGCAAAAACTGCAGGAACCAAGAACAGGCAGTGCAAACGGCTGACAATCCTACACCCCAACGTCATCCTGAACAGAAGCTCATCTGTAAACACATCTCCTACAATCCTAGAACAAGGCATCATGTTCCGCACTGGCTGAGGGATGTTGAGCTGAGCTGTAACGGCGACAATCATTGTAGGAAGACAGTCAAAATCACAGCACCAGTATTTCTTGCTATTCCAAAATCAGAATGCGTACGCAGGGAATCGAATCGGTCCGTTTAGGTTGAGAGATGGTCTTGCCAAGGCACCTGTTGATATGAAGATCCACGAGAGCTGTCGAGGGTGATGCCAGCTGCAGCGCAATCAAGGCTGGGAGGCGTCACTTCACTACATAACCGACTCAAAAAAGGAAGTCCCAAGAAGGTGTGTGAACAAATTGCGGACTCCACCACGAAACCATGGTTGGAAGCCCACATGTAAGAATTCAAGGCTTCTGAGGCAGAACCTGCACTGACCTATAGCCCAAAAATCTCCATAGTCCTCATGCCAACATCTGCCATGTCTAAGAGAATAAGCAAACCTTCCTGCAAATAACAAGGGGCTCATGTCAGATCTGCGTCTAACACTGTCAAAGCTTGAGTTATGACGGCAACTACCACTGCAAACAAACAAGCCCAAAATGGGACCGAGAATTCGAGGAGAGCGAAAGCAGGCCCGGAACTTTGGCTGTCTCCAATTCTTCTGAACACCAGATTCCTATAATGATATTATTACAAACAATCATAATCTAGTAGCAATGGAAAAGAAATGCAAACTACAATTCATATATCAAGGGCACCAGTTCCCTTGCTAGGAAATTCCACGGAACCTCACATGGAAGATCCCCATGTTTGCGAGCTATTGGATCTCCAGCTACTGCAGAAATTTCGGAAGGTCTGTGAAAATGCAACCTCGCCCAGAATCAACAAACGGCCAGACTATAATATATTATGCTACAATATACTACAATATACTACAACAAACTAGAATATGCTATAATATCGTAGCGTATACGATAGTATACTATATAATATGCATTACCTGTGCGAGCAGCCAGGCCTCTGGGGAAATTGCTTCAGACTCGTTTAGCCTCGTGTTCACGTGAGCTCAGTAGTGCATTGATTGGCATTCTCAAAAGGCCTGGCAAAGCTTGTCAAAAACAACAGACCCCGCATTGCCCAAAGTATGATTCCGTCTCAAAAGCCTGAAGCAGGCAGAAAGAACTGAACCGCTACAAACTCGGACATGGATTCTGGTACCAGTACGAGTACGGGACTGTAGCTCACCACAAGGCGGCCGAGTTGCGGATGAGGATTGGTAGAATGTGGGACGGGTGAATGGACGGCTTACAAGTGACGGGCCGAATGGCAGCGGAAGGATGCAGCACCTACACCTAGGAGACCTAGGATGTAGGGTTTAGGATTCAGGATTGTGGGGTAACTTAATCAACAAAAAATCATGGATGATATGGCCATCTTCCTCAGGAGAGCTGTGGTATGTCGCAGACGGCTTCTGGCTGAGGCAGCAGTGGGGATTCCGGAACTTTGCCAGCGCTGCACGCAGAAGCTAACTGCACAACCCAGGCTTCTACATTGGCTACCCCATAGGCGATTGAGGGGTTTAGGAATTTTACACATTTTTACCCCACGGACTTCTGGCGTTTAGGGCTTCCAGTTTCCATGTCACTTGCCGTTGTCGTTTCATTTCGATTTCCCCTAACTGGTGTAATGTGCCCTTTTAGAGAGGGAGCGCCTTTTCTGATTGACTGCCAGCTTTGGCATGTTCCTCCTTGAGGTAAACTTCTGGGGGTCAGGCAAACCCAAATCACGATCTGCTAGGTATGGTTTGGGGTTAGTAAGGTCTTATTCTTGTTGAGGTGTTTGCCCGATTGCTCGCGCAATGCTACGAATTCCGCACTTCAGCGCCTGTCTGTGGGACATAAGGGGAATCCCAGCCTTTTTGGAGATACCCAAATGCATTGTGGCAGCCGGGCGCTGGCTATGCTGGACTATGTACTCATTTCGAGTTCGGGGTTCTCTGGTCGAGTTGTCCCCGCAAGCAAGATGATTCCATGTGATTCCCTGCAGTCGTCAGTTAGCTAACGATACTACCAGCAATATTCTCGCAAGTACTAGACACTTCAATTAGTGCGAGTGTATGCGTGCGCAAATTCACGAACTGCATAGGCTCTTCCTCTTCCTGCAGCTGGCTGCACAAGCATGCACTAACTTCTCTGCATGGAGTCGGACGGGGAATCCCAGGAAATCTACCAGGTAGCCCTGTCCTCTTTAAGGACGCGGTAGGTGCTACTCACTTGCCCTTCCCGTGGAGTCGGGGCAACGGTCTGATCATCAGCATCTGCTGGGCTTCAGTGATACAAGCTTCGAATATAACAACTATCTAAAAGGTTGGCATTTTGATTGCTAATCTCACAAGCTGCTTACAACGTTAGCTCCATGTCGGTAGAAGAAGCTGCCTCCACGGGAGTCTGAATCTGCATGACCCCCTACTCGGACATCACGGGCCCTGTCAAAGAAACGAGGGCAGGAACCTAGCTTAAGCACACACATGCCCAAGGTTTTGAGAGACAGGAGGGCGAACTACAAGGCCCGGTGCGGCTGATTCGACATGTGAGACGTCGCGCCACTCCCCTCCTGACATCAACCTCTGAGTATCACTGATGGCTGCAACTGTGCTACTGAAAGGTCAACATACCTCATTTGATAGCGTGCGGTGTGGCCTGTTGGACTAGGTAAGTGCAACAGGCACCGGTGAATGCAAGGCTGTCAAGTTTGAGTTTCAGTCACTGCAGCAGGATGTAGATTCGGGACTACGAAATGTCATGGAGGGGTCCGGAAGCATTGGTGAATTCTGACCCCCTTGGTTGGGCCGCTTGCATGTCCCGCAGGCCGGCATACATCTTGAACATCTTCCGCATGATACAGAACATATAGTAGTTTCCATTTTCTTTTCCATTATCCCCATAGAACCCCTATATAGACCCCATATAGTCCCTATGTAACCCCATTATAACCCCTGTATTTATAAGGAAAGTGAGTCAGGTGGCCAGTCATCAATGGCCAAGGCTCTCTGCTTACCAGCACGCTTCTTTGGGAGGATCTCAAGTCGCACAACAGCTATGGCATATATTCGACACGCACTGCTCTATGACAATCTGCAGTTAATTAAGCCATACCCTGGACAGCCATGAGGTGTTTTGAGTCAGGCAAAACATCACTCCAAAAAACACCCTACAAAACCATGCTGCACAGTCCTTCGCATAAGAACTAGGGAAAAAGATTTTTAGCATACCCCAGTCGAGCCGAATGGCGGGGTCACCTGCCACCAGGCTTTGAGCCTTGCACGAGATCGTCGTGGCCTGCGGCTCTGTGGGTTTACCGTTTTGTTTTTCATTGGGGATGTTCGGGTTGCCCTTTTTCGAGACCGTTCCGTTTGAGCGTTTTGGACGGTGGTTTTTCCGCCCATCTTTGTTTCCCCTTCCTTGGCAAACTATGCGAAGCTGTTGCTTTGAACCACAAGGCACTCTTGCTCTAGCTACCTGGCAGCTATCATTCATCCTATGCCTTTGAAGCACTCCATGCGAAGTTGGAAGTTCATGCGCGTTTGCAGCTAGGGAAGTAGGATAGCCACAGTTACAACGACGTTGAACCTGGATCTCCTACTCAAGGGGCCCAAATGTCGAAAACATCTTTTAGGGTATCACCTACCATGACTATGACCGAAGACATCTATTCCAGTCCCCTCCGCATTGCCACCTCAAACACATTCCTTAGGTGGACCCCCCACCCTGTAATAGCGGTACGGTGTAACAGGAATACAAGCACACCCTTATTACTGGGTGGGGTCCACCTAACACACTCCATCTCTTCAGGTGCTTGCGGTCAAGAGCGTCAACGGAATCAAAACTCAAAACCCGACGAGGACCAGCACGCCACACCTAGACACTAGACCAGCAGCCCACAGAAGCACACAAGTAAGATGATCTGATTCCATTTCGAGGTACATCAGATTCTGGACAAATCAGCCTGCTAGGTTGAACCTTACACTGAAAGGTCTTTGGGGGACCCACATTGAAGCATTGGATTGAAGCCTGGCAAGGTCTTCAAACACTTCGTTTCAGTGAGTGGAGCCCAGAAGCACCTGCCACAAGGCAGAATGAGCTTGGGCATTTGGGGTGGGAATGGGGGCGTCTCCTCAAATAGGATGTAGGGTCATTCCCTTGCAGCATCTCCCAAGCGGAACACACAGCCATGTAGTTACCCAGAATCAAAAAAAGATGGTCACCAGATAGAT